TTTTTGCTCCTGAGTGAAAGTTGAAGAAACCAGATGGTTTAGTTAGTTTAGGCGAGGGTTTTTGGAGTTTCAGTGAACCCAAAGACTGCTATGGACCCGAGTACAGACTAGCTAGAGAGAATAGATAAAGTGTACTTCTCTGTTTATTCTCTTTTCAGAATAATTGTAACTCAATTATTTGCTCAACCCTTCAGCCCGTTTTTATTTTCCATTTAACTCTTTTAACCCTGATTGTACACTGCACTGTAACTTTTATTTTTTATAAAAAAAGTTCATCAAAACAGACACACTCACCAGTAAATTGTGTAAGCCTCTGCTTGTGCTGGGTCTTGAATGTTGGGTTCATTCAACAGCTCCTGGATACCCAACAGGATCTGAAAAACACAGTCAACAATCCTCCAGTCAGACTGCAGTAAGTGTGACAGTCATTGGTTTATTTAAAACATTAATTTCTTCACAACAGTTACCCCTCCTGGATCCGCACAAATAAAAAATGTGACATTCAGTCACTGCACTGTACAGTTAGAAGACCCTACTTACAGGGCAAATGGCCACAATTGCATCTAAACTAATGGGAAACAAGTTAACAAATAAACTAATAATTCCTCTGTAGATAAGAGTATAAGCTAGAGACTGTGGAGTGTTCAGACCTGTTTGATGGTGATGGCGGGTCTCCAGTCTTTGTCCTCTTCCAGGATCGACAGACACACGGTGCCGGATGGGTAGACATTCGGGTGGAATATTGGTGGCTCAAACTTGCCTAAGTGGAGATCATTGAAAAGAAAGTGAGGATTTTAAAGCTTGATGCAACAGTTATATGGGAAAATTGAAGATTGCAATTACATGGAACAATAGAATCATTATAGAAAACCACCATTACCTGAAACTTTTCACTCAATATCTCTAAAACACAAGAGGATCTGTGAAAGTGCTGTCATTTTGTAACGTTCCATGACAAAACAATTTCCCTCAATGGTCTCTGCCAACATCACTGATTATTATCACTAAAATGTCTACAACAACTGAAGTGAAAATCCCTAACCTTTAAAAATAGGAACATTCATGTCCTATGAGAAGCTAAACTCACCGCACCATTACACTCTACTGTGGCGTCATTCTTCAGCTCAATGTGTAACATTGTCACTGGTCTTGAAACTGTTTTTAATATTTATTTTATTTTTTAAATTTCTACATATTTTCAGATACTGTCATCTTTTGCTCAGAGTTTGTTTGGGTACTAAATAAACCTGGTATACTGACTCTGTTGCCAAAAGTCTTATTTCCTGCTGCCCACCAATTTAGAATGAAGCTATGTACAAAGGGTGGAGTAGTACTCACATTTTGGTGGTGAGGAAGGGTAGTCATCTTTGAACAGCATTCTGAGTTTGTAGAGTCCTCCCTCCCACAAGGTCTAATGAAAGTAATAACTGCTTTAGGGCTATAAAGGGATGTTAAACAATTACAAAGGACTATACAAAGTTACAGTACAATAATTACCTTGGTAAATTTCAATGTGGAGTAACAGTAAAAAGAAATGTGGACATTATGTACCATTTATCGCAGTCAAAATTTAATTTGACTTTTGTCTTTCTCTGTATAATGAGCAAAGCACAATTGTTCCCACATGCTTAGCTTAAATAACAAGGACATACTTGGAAATGTCCTTCAGACTATTAACTTCACATACTGCTCCTTTTACTTCCAAAATTAAAATGAGCTTCACATGATAAAATTTCTTGCTTACGTCAGTCATGCTTACGCTGTTCTTGGCTGGATCTAAGCAGGAAGTGGGCAATAAGCTAGCTTATTTACTTGTATTAATTAATTACAGTAATTTTACACGCCATATGGTTGGCATATGGTATGCAGCGGTGGATAACAGGGTGGTAAAGATGACAAACAAATAGATTTTCAAATAGATTGAAGAGTTTTGCGTGTGGCCAGCGTTCAAATGTATTCTAAATTCTTAATTTATTGAAAGGGCCTAATGCTGATCATTCTCAACACACATGAAAGTAGACGGTCCACTATGATATGCAACTGTAGCTGATTCTGGGTGCCAGAAGGTTACTTACTCCTTTCTTCCCTGGAATGGCACACTCCCAGTTCATCAGATTCATGGTGCCATCAGGATTCTTAGTGGGCACAGCGACAAAACCCTGTGTGTTTTACAAGAAATACAAAACATCACTTGACACTGGAGTCTTGGTTTGTTACATGCATTGCAAAACATTCATCGCATACACTAGCACCCGTGAACTTCAGTAAATAAATCAGAAACAGGGAGCAAACTATAGTAAGTTGCTGCTTACAAATGGGTGGTCTTTCCTCCAGGCTTTGCGCTCCTGGGACAGTCTGCTAAGAGCGATGCCAGACATTGCTGCTCATCAACGCCTCCCTGTGGAAAAACAACCCAAAACAGATTAATTATTCAATTCAAGCAGCCCAGGCTAGTAATACATTCCCAAATGTTTCTTCTGAAAATTACAGTGCATGTTGATAATTTACGAGACATCGCCAACAATGATTTACGTTCGTTTGTTTATGCGACCAGTAGAAATCACACGGTTAATTAAGTCACTGCACTCCCATAAAAAAGGAAAAACTCCACTACACTGACATACGATACATGTGGTAATTTCAACTGGACTTACCTCTTATTTTATTTGGCTAACTATCAGAATTACGTGGGTTTGAGGACTAACGTTAGCTAGGTTGCTAACGCTAACGTTACTGCTGTTTTGACGGCGACCGACAAAAAAAACACACACCCTACCGGACCAGTTAGCGACAAACCAGACGACACTTAGATTTTATCAACATTCCCTGAACACCCTAACCGACATATAATGGTGGTATTTTTGACAAATTACCACAGTTGAGTAAAAGAATGTGACTCTTAGTACTGTTTCGGCAGCTAGCCTATCCCAAGAAAGGACCCCAATTTGTTTATTTCGTTAGGACCTTCAGGCACTTTACGGGACAACCGAGTGACACACGTCAGAGATGGTCGGCCATCTTTGTTGTGGCATTCCATGGGTAGTTCACGCCTTCGGATGATTCAGTCATTTGAGTCATGTCCCCTAAATGAATCACCTTTCACACCTACTTTTTATAAATGTGTTTATTAATTAATGCATTTTCTTCACATAAACCGGTCTGGTATTTATTATATATGGGTACTATGCTATGCATTGTGCGTGTGCACTATTACTAAATTAAGTTCAGTGTCTCGTCTTTTTTAACAGCTTGAAATTTAGCCGAATCCTCTGAAAACATTTTCTCAAACCAGCAATAGTGTGTAATAATGGCTACAATATGGGTAATATAATATATTCAGAAAATTACAATTAAAAAAAATTATCAACTGCCCAAATACTGCAGCAGTATCCCACCTTTTACCAAACACCTTGCCTGCGCATGTTTTGGCCTATCTACAGGCTGTCTATGATCAGTCCCTCCACCATTCAGTACCTTTGTATCATTAAGTTTGTTCTGTTTGTGGATGAATATAACCTAATGGACAGATTTAAACTCTACAAACATGGGTGCAGTGCTTGTGATTATTGATGTTTAAATATTATCACATTTATGCATCCGCGACCCTGTACGCAGGATAAGCGGTTGACGATGGATGGATGGATGGACATTTATGCGGTTGACGATGGATGGATGGATGGACATTTATGCATATGTGAAGCTAACTTGTGCTTCAATGCGTTAAGTTGCCAAACTTGAGACATCAAAAATAGGGACTAAAGCTGTGGTCTGGTGGTCCTCCCCCAGAAGAGCTTCAGAGACTTTGCATTCTTTTTTCCTGCATTCTAGTGACTTTTAAAAATTGAAAATACCAAAATAATAAATATTTTGCAACAGCATTTGTTGTTAAATGTTGATGTTAAATACTTTTACTTTTAATCTTTGCAGTGCCAGTAGAGGGAAAATTCGTGAAGATGTGTCATAAATTGAGAGAAATACAGGAGAATTGTCATCCAGGGAGGAAAACGGAAAAAAGCTACGACAAATGGAGTCACCTAGGAAAATCGGGAGAATTGGCAAGTATGGTCAGAAGTCAAAAAAACACATGAAGCTGCTGTGGGAGGTTTGATTTATTTGAAGCAATATGTAACCCTGCAGATACAGTAAGTCCACAGCACAAGAAGAATTGTTCAAAATGGGATGTTCGTTCTCCAAATGCTCTTGTTCTGGTCTCTACAGTTTTCTTTTTACCTCAGTGGAACATAGCAACAGCTGACATCATGAACAATGGTTAATATGAGGCATTACTTGTTATGTTTAACAGTTCCAAGGTAACAATGCCAAATTGCCTGTAACACAAGACAGTGATATAGGTTGGAGAAGATGCACAGCTTTTACTGCAATCTTCTAAAAACTCTCATAATGGGACTCTAGGCATTCTTTTTAATTTGCACACATTGGTTTTATCTGAGTTAAATATTGTACATTGTTGCACATGGTACCACCATGGCATAACAAAAGCTAAAATACATAAACTTTGTTATGAAATCGGGCATATTGCCAGACACCTCAAATCAGCAGGAACCGGACTGAACTGGTTTTGATTTCCTCTGCGTCAGCATCCCAAATTTTTTTCTTCTGTTGTATTGAGTCTCAGCAAAAGCGGCAGTCTTTTAGTGAGCCTACTGTCTGCTAAACGTTTTCACACTAAGTTACATTTTCTTAACATGTAGCTAACTTTTCAACAATTAAAAATGCTATGAAGTAAAAATACAATAACAAAATATTTTGACTTTAAAATCTGCAGAATGGTACTAAAATTGTTTCCTATAATCCAATGGATTGGGAGGGAGGGAGACTTGATTGATCAATATTTCTTCCACAGTATATTGCCCTTCTGTCTTCCATGGCCATCTAACAAAACTAAATATTTGCCTTTCTGATTACTAAATAAAAAGGAGTATTACCTCCATGTCATAAGCTAGACATATTTAAACAGATCAAAAGATATGACAGCAGTATGTAGCAAAGGAAAACAAGGACCTCAAGCAGCCATTTATTTTAACATTTGTAAAAGAATCATCAATACATCTACATAACTGGCTCCTAAAAAGAAAAGGGCACTTCTTACAAGAATCAAACATCCCATTGTCTTAATACTTGTGAACCTTCATAGAAAAAGTCCCATAATCATACCATTTTAAACATGTTGAGACATAGCATTATCATGTTATTTCAGGATAGTGTAAACTTTTCTAAAATACCTTATGCAGCTTTGCTTTAATGGAAAGTTATACAAGTTGCATAATGTATAGAAGAGATTCTCATTAAAGGTTTCAGACAGTAGTTAAGTATCATTACAAGCTTACTGTGCACAGCCTTACAGCACAGAAAGCACATTATGACGCTAGTTTTATAGTCTTGATCTCTCACACTGCTGTCCCATTATCACATCCTCACTTATAGTAGTCCACTGCTGTTCCTCTTTCATTCACACCTTCTTTCCCTCTCCCTCTGAGATGATATGCTCTGGAGATGCCCTTTTAAACCATTCAGTCCAGGAGCCGTCATAAACACACACCCCAGGGTGCCCAAGCAGGTGAGCCGCCAGAGCAACATGACACGATGTGACACCAGACCCACAGGATGCCCAGAGTGGTTGCTCCAGGTCCACCCCCGCCTCTCTGAACAGTTTGGACAGGACATCTGTTCCCAGCTCCTTTCCAGAGGCGTCCAAGAAAGAAGTGAAAGGCATGTTGATGGCACCAGGGAAATGGCCCGGCAGCGTGTCTGTGAGGGTGAGACAGAGTAGTGGGAAACACTGTAAGTGTTTGAGGCAATAATGACATTGTGCTTACAAAAAAAAGGTACTCAAGGTTCACTTACTAGATGTCTTCTGGAGCTGCCAGCCACATCTCATGGCCTTCATCAGCAGATGGTTTGCTTCAACCATGACGGTTACATCATCTATTTGACGACTGAGCAAATTTCATCTGCTGATGAAGGCGTTGAGATGTGGCTGGCAGCTCCAGAAGCCCCATACGAAATCTATAACCCAAGTGGCCCATGAGTACTTTTTTTTGTGTGAAACTACTACAAGGATGACATTGTGATTTATTTAAGTGCACAACAGTGTGTCAACCTATCAGTTATTTTCAACTGACACTGATTGCATACAAACATTTTATAGGCCTACTTATAAAAGTTGATGTGTGAGTAGTTGTTTGTCTATATGTGGCCCTGCGATGGACTGGTGACCTGTCCAAGGTGTACCCTGCCACCCGATGTAAGCTGGGATTTGTTCCAGCCCCCCTGTACGCAGGATAAGCGGTTGACGATGGATGGATGGATGGATGGACATATAAAAGTTAAGAAGATAATCATGTAGTCTATAGATTGTAGTCCTAAAGAGAAACTGATGTCTCCTTAATTAACCAGTTAATAATCTTAGTTTTAACGAAAATGCAGCTAAAGTCTTAACTACCTCTGTCCACTGAAAACAGGATTTTTGTTATAAACGTGTAAACAGCTCACCATCTCTCGGCTCTGGGTCAGTACCTCTGAACCTCCCTGCTGGCCTGGCATCCACAGTCTGGACCTGCTTGGTCCTGATGTTCTCCAGCACGTCTTCATAGCTCTTCACCCACGACTGGTTCACAGCCGCCTTGAACTCTCTACGCTCCGGCGTGGAGTACTCAGAAGTCACCGGATAGCCGTCAGCCAGCCAGTTCTTCATGCCGCCGTCCAGCACTGAGACCAAACTGTGTCCGAACAGCCGGAACATCCACCACACCCGGGGCGCGCTGAACGACCCGAAGTCGCTGGTGTCATACACAACTACGTGCGTGTCGTTCCCGACGCCCAGATCTCCTACATACCGTGAGAAGTGGCTGGAAGTTGGCAGCATGTGATCCAGCGTAGAGGTCTTGTCACAGCACTCGTCTATATCAAAGAACGAGGAGCCCGGTATGTGCTTCTGCGCAAATTCAGCTTTCGGGTCCCGTTTCGTTTTCGGTAGGTACCACGAAGTGTCAAGCACGCGAAGCTTGGGCCCGACTCGGTTATTTCTGATAGCATCTGCCAGCCACTGACCGGTCACCAGAGCCCGGGTCTGAGCCGCCATGACGAGGCACTGGGAAATACAAGCTCCGAGCGCTAGAGGGAAACCTTTATGTGCTCAACGACACGGGAAGTTCAACACTTGGCACAGGCCTTGAACTTTGGATTTAATTTATAAAATGTGCAACAACAAAGAAGGGGTTCTTTTTTTGCACAACCACAAATTAATTAATTAATTAATTACTTCCTTTTAATAAGAAGTCAGTGTGAACATACAAAATGGACTACATTAATTTCAAAGCACATGTCAAATTAACTGGAACAAATAGCCTAGGCCTATATTTAGCTACTAGGGTGCTTTATATCGGCTAAGGTTGTTTATACAAGAGTTCTGCATTCAGAAAACTGGAGTTAAAGAGCCTTCCATGGCACATCTTTTTTGTCTTGTAAACAGCACAATCTTCATAATGTATTTGTATTTGTAAGATGATGACACATGATGTCACATAGGCCTTTTTCCTTCCACCAATCACAATTTAGCAACATCTGATTCAGGATCTGATGGCAGTTGTGTGGCTGTTATGATACCAGGCCACTGTCAATTAAAATTGATCAAACAACACCTGTACTGTCCTTATGATCAGCTGAGTTTTTGACTGTTAAACAAACAAACAAAACACAAAAAGAACCAGGCTTATTTAATGGTAAAGAAAAATACTTAGCAAGTTGTCATGGGGGTTAAATTAAGCTGATGAAGTCTGGTTTATTTAGCTGCATGGCTAGTGAAGTATCACACTATTAAAGAGTGCTAGTAATTGCTTTTGAATAAAATGCTAAAAGCAATATCGCCTGCAGTATTAACATTTGAGTCTTTTCATCATTGTTTTTGAGGTTTTGTAAGCATTGCTCCTTTTTTTTACTATGGTGTAGCTGTCTTTACAAGATCCAGGTGGTTTGGTCTGCTTCAGTCTTGGTGTACATTCCTGTGACTGGATGGTAAACTCTGGCCCAGTTGCCAAACAACTGACAATTTGTTTTTCACAAGTGTACCACAGGTCTATCGGGTATTTACATGTTTATTTACGTGTCACCTCTTCTCTCTCAGCATATGAATCAGTATCATCACAGACTAATTTGTGTCGATACAGTTACAAAATATCCTTTTAACATTTTAAGGTCTGGGGCTTTGATTCTGGGTGAGTGAAGGGGAGAGTACATGTAGAATAGCTGTAATTTAACAAGTAAATTAGGAGTGCAAACATAATAGCCTTAATAGGAGACCTAACAACATCTTCGTGACCATAAAACAATTACAAAGTTAGAGTGAGTTCATGTCTACATGTATGCTTTCAACTACCCTGAACAATTCTAAAAGTTTATGAGAAACAAGATTTTAATCAGGAAAATTTTAATTTGTATATTAAGAACTGCTTTAAAAAATTACAATTATCTAGAAACAGTTAGCTCCACATGGCAGTGACAAAGGTTTGATTTATTTTATTGATGATTTCAATATACTACTACCAACAAAGCAAACAAATAGGCTACATTATAAATCAGTCAACAGGGGTCAGTATTTAAGTGCTTGCACAAAAAAGTAACCTTTTCAAATTCACATAATAATCATGCATTTGATGTAATAATGGCAGGCTCTGTAAATGTATCAAAACATAGCAACATATATTCTCAGTTGGAAAAGTGTCAATTTGCATGTGATTGGTATTTCATTTGATTTGGTATTCTTTGAACAAAAACAGCAATGGTACTTTATCCACAAGAATCACACAAAAGTCTTACATTTGAACTTCAGAAATCAATCTATATTCAAATTCCATCTTTTCTTTTAAACATGATTTGAGTTGTGTCTGCTTTGTGACAGTTTTGTGACAGTGATTTTGTGAGCTGTAGTTTGCTCTGATCTGACCTTCCCAAACTCAGTATATCAAAACATATCACATCTGAGGGCCTGAACACCTGTGAAGAACTGATGATCAGGGCATGTACTTCATTCCTTTCATCCTAGGAATTATATTTATATCTCTGATGTCATCATGCTGAAGCAACCAACACAAGTAGCGCTCCGTCCCCATGCCCCATCCACTGGTGAGGAGTGGTTTCACTTGCCGCATGTTAATGTACCACTTGTAGGACTGCTCTGGCACGACATGGTGCCTGAGGGCCTCTTGTTCCATCTCAGGGGTGGAATGACATTTGCCAAGACCCACAGTCTCACCCAGTCCCAGGAGAAGGTCAGCAGCTTTGGCTTTAACCCGCCCAGTGCCCTTCACATATGCCTGGTAGAAGGGAACTCCCAAATGGTCCATTTCAGTCAGCCAAACAGCACCGCCATATTTTTCTATCAAGACCCGCTCTCCTTTGCCGTTTTTCCATCCAGCTTGCTCAGCATGGCTGTGACATGTGCATGTGAACTAGTAGAGAAACAAAAGAGCGGAATAAGAACTAGAGGCACAGTAAGTGGAAACTGTATAGCCGCAAACCGCTTTACCATCCGAAATTAAAACATTGACAGAACTTAAGGTTTTTAATATACCTTTAAAGCAATGGTTGAAACTGAAACAATTCTGTGAACACTGACTGTACAGGATACAATGCAATGCAATGCATACAAATATGATGTTGCATATGTTAGCATGCACAGACATATGCACACTTTTCTGTTCTTGTATTGTTTGTTGTGTCTAGACTCTGTTTATAGTGATTTCTACATCTTCTTCAGTCCATATCTTATTTCATGTATGGGATGTATTTATTGTATGTATTTTAATGGTTGTAAATTTTAAACTCAATACTCTGTAATCTCTGTTTTAATTTTACAAGCCTAACGTCATGGCTAGAAACCTGTATGCATGGCATCTACTTTGTATTCTTTATAAAGCAATGTTCTATGCATTTGTCCCTGTCAAATAAACATTAAATAAATAAATAAATAAAAGGGTCCCGTTAGTGTTTAGGATCATATCACAGTGTTTCTTCAGCATAGCCTTGGTAAGGTGAGCCAGGAATCCCTCCGCTATGGACATGGCCTTGTCCATGTCACCCAACAGTTCACACTCCACGTGGTAAAACTGGTTCAAGTGTGTGGTATCAGGGTCTTCCCCTCTAAAGCTGGGAGAAATGTAGTACGTCCCTGGCAGGTTCTCTTGGAAGCGAAGGAAGTATTCAAGCACAAATTGCATTGAGTCAGCCAGGTAGATGTCCTGGCCCAGCAGGTTAACAGAAACTGGTTCTGAGTCAGATCCTAGGCCCATTGGTGAGGAGATGGTGTCTGTGGTGAGAGGGGTTAGAGCATAAGAGTACTGGCAGGAACTGTGAAATTATTCCACTGTGCTGTGGAGTGTTTTGAATCTGGAACAGGTTGCGATACCACGGGCTCTTGATGGCAAGTGTGGAGTGAGACTGAGGGTCTTCCCATGAATGAGGAGGCCTGCACTCTGTAATTTTTGAGTGGATCTTTTTGAGGGCCTCAGGGTCAGCTGCTGGGCCATCCAGTGATGACACATATCCAGGGTAGCTTTGGAAGCACTCTGGTTGCAGTTCAGCAGGATTAGTGCCATCTGGTGAAGGTAACACAGGGATCAGCTTGGCATGAGCATAGTCAATCTCAAAGCCCTCAAAGATCAGTGCAACGCCTCGAGCTCTCATCCCCTCTTCCAGTAGTCGGGCAACTTTATAAGTGGCTAAGATCAGTGCTTTGTAGTCAGCTTCCTGTAGTTTGAAGATGTCACTGGACAGTGGTTTGCGTGGCACCACAACAGTGAGTCCAGGAGTGTTTGGGTATGGTGTCAGGAAGGCAACATGCTCACTGTCTTCCCACACTCTCCACTGTTGCTGCTCTCCACGCACAATACGACTGAACAGGTTATCATGGGAAGCGTCTCCAAAAAAGTCAAAGCAAGGGGGTGCATTCGGTGTTGGCAGTCCATTTCTAATCTTGGCTTGAACCTGGGCCAGTGCCTCATCATCCCAGCGTGGGCCACTTTTTGAGGTGCAGTAGCCAGGATGGAATGTGTGGAATTCTTCTTCATTGGCTAGATGGGGCTGCCACTTTGGCTCTATACCATGAAGCGGTAGCAGTCAGATTTGTGCTGGCTGATCAGGTATTGGATTGAAAACCAAGGCACAGCGCTGCACTCCCAATCGCTCACATAGCAAGCTTGCCACAGCTTTTGCTGCTTGCAGCATAGCAACAAAATCAGGTGTAGCCAACTGGAAGATGCTGCTTGCCCCATTAAGAGTTTTTTTAGTCAGAATGGTTGACCCAGGGATCCAGGGGCTGGAATCAAGGTAGGCAACCAGCTCATCTGTTTCCCAGATCACATCAGAGAAGCTCTTCAGTGGCCTTAGGACCTCTACTCGTGAAATGCCACTTCTCATGGAGGCCACAAACATCACAGCAGCATTTGTTTCAATGATGCCATCACCTTTAGTGTCCACTGCAATGATTCCTGCACAGATCCCATACAGATTTTCAGCCATCACTTCTCTACATGCCTGTCTAAGGCATGCCTGGTCCAGACGCCAAACTTTGGATGACAAAGGACTGCAGTCTCCAAAGACTCAAAGCATTTAATTAAGTTTAATTAAATCTTTAGTTACCTGATTACGTTTGCCTCTATTTGAGTAGTTATGTTCAACTGTTGTTGCTATCTGTTGTTGATATTAGTGCTGAAAAGAAGTTACTTGTGCAGTGTTTTTATTTTCAGCAAGACACTCCTTCATCTAATGTAATCAATGCTTGTTCATAATACTTTCCTACAGGATTCCTTTAGAAATGATGACAAAGAAATGTTTTACTTTACTCTTAATCGCCAGCTTGAATTTAAGGATGAATCAACAATATTCCCAGTTCCTAAGGAGAGACGAGCTTTGATTTAATCAAAAGCTTTCCTCATGTAACCTGAGCTCCCCCAAGTGGACGAAATAAGTATTACATGCCCTCGTTGGAAATGCCGTTAAATGTATAAATATCCTGACCAATAATGTGACAATTGTTTCCTGTTACCAAATGCCTAGAACAGTACAACTGTTGAGGTTCGATTGTGGAAAATATTTGATTATAATACGTGCAAAACTGAGACGCCCCCTGCAGAACCACGCCCCAGGCAACAAAAGAGCAACACGCGACCTCTCGCTCTCTCCTCTTCGCTGTTGGCTCTCTTCCACTCTGCTCTGCTCTCTGGACGCTTCGGCACGCGCGTGGCGTGCCTCGCCAGGCAACGCCCAGACTCGGCCAGCGAGACAGGCCTTTTGTTCGCCTGAAGCTACACACCTGAAGTGCCGCGACATCGATCTGCCCTTCAGTTTGTTTTTAATTTCTTTATTTCTTTTGTTTGTTAAAGTTATCAGTCCGTTAAGTTACACTGGACTAATTCAGGAACGACCAAGTTCCATTTTAAGCCTTTTTCGTCGAAGCCAACTTCACCAAGGTAAGACCAAGCCACGTGGTCTCGCCAGTGTGGTGTTCGAACGATAATGCTGCGTGATGTGTTGAGAAGAAATCCGCTTGACACTGTTCTTGATTATAAAAGTTTATTACATCAAAGAATTCAGCATCAATTACAAGCTCTGCAGCAGCTTGGAGAGTGACCCAGCCCGATGGCCACTCTGTCTCTCTGTACATTGAACACAGCTTATATAAGACATGTTTAGGTCTCTGCTAAATACCTTATAAGGGCACAGTGCTGTAGACTAAGTGTAACCATCTGTTAGACACCACTTCCCCTAACACTGGGTCCACTGTGTCTCCCTCCAGCTCTGGGTCAGGGGTCAAATTCTATAGGAGGGTTCACTCTTGGTACACCCATCAATCATTACTTCCCCTTAAGGGTTCACTGTCCCTCTCTCCAGCTGCAGAGTATTATGTTAAACTGTAATGTCAAAAGCATATGTTATACACCACACCAGCTACAACGAAGGAAACCTGAAAACAGCCGAATTGCCAGACAGAGGAGGTGTTTTCAATCAGACACGGAAAACCCCGGAGAATCCCTAGCAAAAAGCCCGGATCGGGCAGCTAGCGTGGGACCCGTGCAACAGGCCAAAAGCAGGCTGTTGACAAGCAGTAAGACTTAACACACGTTCTGTGATCAGATGTCCATTTTAACTCCTAAATCATAGCATTAGTTTACTTTCATTAGCTCTTCTATGCCATATGAGTCAAATGCTTCCCACAACTGAACCTCCAGGCTCATTGTTCAGCAAATGTTTATGTTCCCTGTATCCAACCATCTTTTTATCACCTTAGTTAGAGAATAAATTCACTGTAATATAATCAAGAGCTGTGTGTGTTGCCTATTTCTAGTTCCTGCCAAGAGAATTGACCCTTTAGATATGAGACTGACTGACTGATTTAAGATGATTGAGCGATTATTAACTAACTGATCACTAGTAATAATTGTATAATTATTCAAAACTACCTAGAGGTCCGGAGACTCTAGGATTATAACAACTCTGGTGGTGCCCTTAACGAGGAAAATTTTGATTTTATGAATCTTCAATTATGAATTCATAATTGGGTATCAATTCTCATAAAGGCACAGAAAGGAGAAGATCTGCTGCCCCAACATCAGGAGAGCCCTGGAGCTGTTAACAGTGCCTGAGCTAGGCTTACCTAGCCACATCATCATCCATACAAGCACCAACGACTTAAGGTCCCAACAGACAGACTCTCTGAGGAGAGTCACTGAGCAAGCCTCCACCAATTTCCATACCAGAAAGATAGTCGTATCCATGCTGCTGCACAGGAGAGACTTCCACCCCTACACCATTCACAGAGTGAATATCAGCCTCTCCAGGGACTGTGCCCTCAAACCCAACGTGTTCTTGGCCCACCACCCGACCCTGCACCTGGACTGCCTGTATGATAACATACACCTACACAGAAATGCAGTCCCCACCCTTGCTAGGACCCTGACGGATGTTGCTCTTGGAAGGAGACCTACTACCACTCCAAGGGGTAACCACACAACGCAGACCCCACGCAGACCTCCAGGACCTCCTAGACCTTCAAGACCATCCAGACCATCCAGACCTCCACCATACATCCATCCCCGGCCATCAGAGAGGATGGCCAGGCCACCAAACCCACCGCATCACCAACATCACAACCCCCACCAACACAACACTGGCCACTGATACCCAGCCAGAGAGCCCCCCAGCCTGGAGGTCCTATACCCCCCCTCATCCCAACGGCAGAACCAAGACTACAGGAGCAGCAGCCTATTGGACTTAACTATACTGCAGCGGTGAGAAGAGCCACAGCCCCGCCACCCTCTGGTGAACTCAAAGACATATTACACATGCTAAACCTGCTCTGCTCGCTTGATATAGCTACATGGTGGAAGAGCAGAGACCTCTTAGAGACATCACAATAATTCATAGTTTAGCATGTTGGATATACTTTTAAATGAATAGTAATATAAGGACAATTCTTAACAATATTTCACACATGATACACTCTAAAATGTCACTTATTATTGACATTTTAGAGTAGATTATTTACTTATTATGTTATTAATTTACCTACAACACTATTTTCTATTTTTCTTTTCGTTTGTTACTAGTATTATTTTTTAATATCTAGTTTACTATTATTATTATTTGTTTTTTAAGGTGTTTGTCTAATTTTTGAACAGATTACACTTGGAGATGAAATCGTTACGGTAGATTATTTCATTACAGATCTAGAACCAATGTCTCTCAGAGCTTTCACAGTCAGCCCCCTCACACCCCTCTCAGAACACAGCAAAATCACCATCTATCTGAAAAGGGCTCAGTCTAAGTCTGGAGCCCCTAGTGCCTGTGAACTGTTTAACAGCACATACTCATACAGATGGACCCCAGACAGCATGGGGGCGTACCAAAAGGCACTGGAAAATCAAAACATAAATGATTTAACTCATTTATTTCTAACTGAAACATTTCCCCAGAATAATTCTGGTGTAAATTCTGCTGTGGACAAAATCAATTAAATATTTCATCATTTGGCTTCATTGTCTAATTTGAAAGCCTCCAAACCAAAACCTCAACAAATGAACAATAACAAATGGTTTGACACTGAATGCAAAAACCTGAGGAAAACTTTAAGGAAATTATCAAATGAAAAGCATAGTGACCCAGATAACCACAACATATGCTATCAATATGAGGCCACTCTGAAACAATACAAGTACACCCTAAAAACTAAGAAAGAACAACACAGCAAGAACCAGCTCTGTGAAACTGAGGAATCCTTAGAGTCCAACCAGTTCTGGGAGAAATGGAACAACCTAAACAAAACCCAGCAGGATGAATTGGCGATCCAAGATGGAAATACTTGGATTAATCACTTTAGTGAATTATACAGTAATATTACAAAATATGATGATCAGTACAAGATATTCATGAATTGGAAAACTCTGGAGGCGGTGATATAAAACAACCAAAACCCTCTAGATTACCCTGTAACAGAACAAGAATTAACAGAAGTCATCCAATCCCTGAAAGGAAAAAAGGCTTGTGGTATTGATGGAATCCTCAACGAAATGATCAAATACTCAGACCATTAAATCAGATTGGCTATACTAAAACTTTTCAATACTATTCTAGCAACTGGAACTTTTCCAGACATCTGGAACAAAGGTTTAATAACCCCAATTCATAAATCCAGAGATAAATATGACCCAAATAACTACAGAGGAATATGTGTATCTAGTAACCTGGGAAAAATATTCTGCAACATCATTAATAAACGACTTGTCAACTTTGTTGATAACCACAATATTCTGCATAAATGCCAAATTGTTTTTTTGCCAAATTGCCACACAAAGGACCATATATTTACCCTCCAGACTCTAATTGATCAAGAATTAAACATTAAGAAAAGAAAGGAATATGCCTGTTTTGTTGACTTCCAAAAAGCCTTTGATTCCATCTGGCACAAGGGCCTTTTCTATAGGCTACTTGAAAGTGGCATTGGACGAAAAACACATGACTTGATTGAGAACATGTATACAAAAAGTGAATGTGCCATAAAGATTGGAAACAAACAAACAGCGTTTTTCTCCCAGGGCCGGGGAGTGAGGCAGGGATGCAATCTCAGTCCAATTCTCTTCAATCTATATATCAATGAATTAGCAAACCAATTAGAGAGTTCCTCCTCCTGAAGGACACAGAGATCAGAGGTCTGCTGTATGCAGATGACTTAGTGTTGCTCTGACCTACTAAAGAAGGTTTGCAGCAGCACCTTAACCTCCTGCAGAGATTCTGTCAGACCTGGGCCCTGACAGTAAACATAGCAAATACTAAGACAATGATCTTTCAGAAACAATACAGAAATCAGGTTACACACAATTTCTATTTAGACACCACTAAATTACAATACACAAAAAAATACACTTACCTTGGCCTCAACATTACATACACAGGGAACTTCAACATGGCCGCGAAAGATCTGAGGGACAAAGCAAGGAGAGCTTTCTATGCAATAAAAAGAAACATTAAAATATATATTCCAATTGAAATCTGGCTTAAAATTTTCCAAATTGTACTAGAACCAATAATTCTATATGGTAGCGAAATCTGGGGGCCAAAACTGAATTTGACAAATGGGACAAAACAATCATAGAATCTTTCCATACCGAGTTCTGTAAGAGCATCCTGCAGGTGCAGAGAAAAACACCAAATAACCTGTGCAGAGCAGAGCTCGGCCAGTACCCCCTCCTACTAAAAATACAGAAAAGATCAGTTAAATTTTACAATCACTTAAAATAAGTTAACCCCTAGACATATCCTCACAAAGCCCTAACATGCCAGGAGCTGAAACTAGAGAAGAGTCCCCTCAGCCAGCTGGTCCTGAGGCTCTCTGCAGTAACAAGTCCCCAACAGCCTCAGGACACCAACACCAACTCAAGCAGACTAAACCAAATTATCAGCAAGCAGAAAGAAAAATATACTGAATACCAGAAAGAAACAACCAAAACACAAAGTAAATTACAATGTTATCTGACCCTAAAAAGAGAATTCACACTGGCAAATTACCTGAGTACAATAAAATGTCCCAAACTGAGAAAAATGTTGACAACATACAGACTGAGTGAACACAGCCTGGCCATAGAAAAGGGTCGCCACAGACAGCGCTGGCTACCACAAGAGGAGAGACTCTGCTCCCAGTGTTACAGAGGACAGGTAGAGACAGAGCCGCACTTTCTAACCTCATGCCCCAAATATACTAAGACAAAAACACTTTGCAAATATTTCCCAAATATACCCCAAATTCGAATTCATATCAGACACACAGAAACTCCCCTATTTACGGGAAGAAATGCCAAAATGTGAAATAATTGCTGCTAAATATGTCTCATCATGCCATGAAGTGAGGACAACCAGTGGAACCTCAGACTGATAAATAATTGTACAGATTTTCAAACTTTCATTATTTTGATCATTTGATATTTTAGTAATTGTTTTGTTTTTACATTTGATACTGATTTCTTTTTTAAAAATGTATTATTATTATTTTTTAATCAATTAATTATTGATTTTTGTCTATTGATACACACACACACAGACGTTACTGTTTCATTTATTTATTTTATTTACATTTTTTAAATATATTTTATTTTTAACACACACACGCTTACCATTTATTTATTTCATTAAATTTTAATATATATTTTTTTTTTAACACACACGCTTACTGTTTTATTTATTATTTATTTATATTTTTAACACACACACACACACACACACATACACGCTTAGTGTTTTATTTATTTATTTTATTTTAATTTTTAATATTTTTTTAACACAAACACACGCTTTGATTACTTTACGCTTTAATTACTTGTTTAATGAGATGTATGGGGTTGATTGTTCTTATGTAGTATGTATGATGCTTTGGCAATATTGTTGTTACACATTCATGCCAATAAAGCTAATTTGAACTGAACTGAATTGAATTGTGTCATCAGAGCCAACAAAGGCTTCCAAGGCACGTACTAACTTACAAGAATGCATGGTGAGTGAGTAAGTAGGATCACATCGGCCATGTTTGTAGTGGTGCATATGGGTAGGTGTTACAAGGATGTGTTTAGGCAGCAGATTCCCCAAGAGTCTGCCTCAGGGAAAGCTGCAAGGAGAAGTTGATCCAAGCATCATACAAGCCTCTCTGCCCTCTGAGAGTAGAAAAGACATCAGGGTAGGAGGGCACATCAAATGTGAGAACTGGATGTGTTGCTTTTAAGTTAGGGCTCGGATTGGGGGTATTTACTCCTTACAAGGGGAATGTTAGGGAAGTTGGGCAAACAGAATTGACATTAACATTGTTCACTGATCCATTTGTGTTTTCTGTGTCAGTATAGACAAGGTTTAGGTCAACAGTTTCTGACAGATTATACACATGCTGAGTCACAAGCCACCACCCCATCCACAAGACTGTGTTCCAACACTATCCCAAAAAATTTATGCTTTTTCAGAAGTGCTTGTTGAATGGTTGAACAGCTACAAGAACCCCTCTCTCCTCCTTTAAATTACATGTATGATGGGTAGGTAGGTCCAAAAAGAAACTAATTTAAGATTCAACTGTGTTTTGTCAGTAATCTCACCTTAATCTCATCTTGAATCCTGCCAGGAATTCGGCTGGCAGCGAATACCTCACCCTGCTGTGTGCGCTCCATTGGCACATTGCCCTCCAGTAACAAGGGCTCACTGTACAGCTTTGCTGCTGCCCAGAGCAGAGCGGCTGCCCTCTGCAGCTGGGTACATTGCTTTACTTGGGAAGGAAGAAGAACAACAACAGGCAGGGCTGTGGAAGTGGGCAGGGGTCAGCACAGGACAGCAGAGCTCTCTTGAACTGCTCCGTCACCCAGTTCTCTTGGCCTGCAGCATATTTTTTGGTGGGCCTCTTGAAGGAGCTCCCTCTGCTGTTCCATCGTGCATTTAAACTCAGGGTAAAGGTCAGGACTTAAAGTGAGCTGCAGGACACGGCTCACTTCTTGCAAGGTAACATCCAACTCTGGAACAGGGTAGTCAAGAATGGTCATCCTGTTGGTCTGGAGGAGGCTTGAGTGAGAGAAAGAGAAAGGAGGATAGATATGCAATTGTGTAATGTTAATAAAGGTTTCTCACTGTATTCACTGTGTTAAACTGTAATTAAAGTGCTTAACAATGGTTGCTATTGGCTGAGCACTCTTGCCTGGTTGAAGTAAGCACAGCAGTGAAGATTTACACTCACAATCAAAATCCCTTACAAGGAATTTGCTTTGCTGACTTGACGCATAACAATAACCAAAAACCTATATAAATATAAAAAATATAAAATTGACAAGATAAACAAATCTAGTGTCACCATTCATTTTCATGCACTTAATTATTTATTATGTATTTAGCTATAGGAAATTTGATATTATCAGCAAGACTGACTCCAAGACAGACATAATTAGATAAATAACAATAATACAGAAACCAAGAAACAATTTGAAAATTTGAAAATTCCCCAATGTGTGCTATGTTACACACCATTATTAAGGACAAAGTGCTGCTAAGTCAATTATCTGATTTATGGTTATGATGCTGTAACACAGGTCTCTTTCTGTATTAAAGAGGTGAACATCTACATTTTCCTTCAATGTTTTATTCTTCTTTTTTGTTTTTGGAACATACTGACTTTAGTAATGATTAGGAAATTGTATATTATATTTCTTATGTTTCCTTTAATACTACTTTTTCTATTGCTGTGGACCTTACAAAAGGATAAAAGTTAGACTACATAAATTCAAATATTACATTGTTAATTAACCTAAAATATTTTAAATTAAGTACTTAATCAGAATGTCTGACATTTATGTTATGGGTAGCCTATGTCCTTTTTGTCTTTGCTTTTTAATTTAGTAAGATATTTCCAAATGACTAATTACTTATTTTACACAAAATTGTAAACCGGCAAAATGCTTACTCCTAAAAATACATTTGATATGTTTATATATCAAATATATTACTATTGTTATTAAGACTTAGCAGCATCCCTCACTGTTTGTCTGCCCCAGACCTCACACTGTGAGTGCACATGAACTGAATTTCATTTTTGGTAATTGAACCTGAATTTAGTTGTTAAATGAAATTAAAATTAACCAATAGGCTAATTCAATATAAATATGGAAAATAAGAAACACTGAAAACAATGTAAGAATAACATTCAGAAAAGAATGAATAAATTAATTTGTTTTTGAAACACATTTTTTAATTTGGTATTAAGGTGCATTTCAAGTTTATTAGGAGTCATTTCAGCACTATGAGCATGACCTGTTAAATAAACTCAGAAAATGGCACACTATGGGTACAGCTCCTGGTCCCGGAATAAGGACCTCGGACAACAGTTTATTTACAGAAACTTTTATACATTCATTTTCGCATTGCATGTCTTGTTGGGTTGGTTTTCTACATAAAGTTGATAGAAGACGGGAAATCAGGGAGAAAGAGAAAGAGAGATACAACACTGAAGCCGCTCTCTGATCACAGGTTACATTAATGGTAACAGCTGCAGTGTGACAAGCAAGCAAGCTGCATTTATTTCACTGTGTATCTTGCTACATCTTTAGCTGGAGTGTGAATCATGTCAAGGCCTACTATTATCTCACTGTGGATCGGCATTATAATAATAATAATAACAATAACAATAATAATATATTGCACACACATATCATAGTATTTCACAATAAACAAACAAAGACAAACAAAAAATAATAAAAAAACAAGTCTAAACAGTTTAAATTAACTTTCATTTTTTCTTTTTTGTTTCTGTGTCGCTTTTCCTGATGGCTAGTAAATATGGCTGGTTTGGGTCTCTTCTAATACTACTAGCAGCGTATATATACAGTAGATTACCAACCCTCCACCTCACCCCAACCAGGAAGATAAGTCATGCTGACACTAAACCAACCAACAATCAGTTTTTTTCTCAGATATCAGGCTTATGTCAGCAGGCTCATTCTACAGAGGAACTCTACAACTGGAATAAGGTCTTACCGCTGGGTTTTAGATTATATCCTAATCAGATTGATTTTTAAAGCTTTGGTTTTCAAGGCCTGCCCAAATTACAGAAACAGCTTTTATAATTCTTGTGACATTTAGATATATAGATCTCCGACCTTTTGCTTGTGTGACCTTCACTTAAGTAAGTAAATTATACTTTCCCTATCATTGGTTTGGGTTATTTGGCTGTTTAATAGAGCCAGATAGCCAGTGTGAAGTCCACACATGTTGTTCTGGATCTACAATTTTCTATAGTAACATTTGAACAGTCTATTAATGCTTGTTATGTTTAGTACTGTATATATTTATCAGGGGTTAGTGCACATTGTGACAACTGTACTGACATTTGTATTAATTTGTATGATTATTATAATCTCGGGAAAGTTTATTCACTTTAATTCAAATACTCCCCTTTTAGGGCTTTTACACTAACACATAGGCTAGACAATTTTGGGAGAAGTCCTACCCTGACATCTGTAAACTTGTAGCATTGCTTCAATTACACAATATACTCCAACACTTCCACCATTCTATCCCTGCAAATTCATGTAGAAAGAAATGGATGGAGTATTTTGATCAGAAGAAAAACTGAAAACATTCTTGCTATGAGGAAACAGTGCAGACAATAGAGGAGGGATATGGCTGTAGCTGTTTATCGTGGAAACAAAGCGCTTCCCAGTGAAGTGTGCTAAACAGATCTGCAGTAACATTTTCAGGCAGTTGTACTTTACCTAAATACGTCATACTACTTCTTCTCCACTGCATTTATTTTAGAGCTGTTGTTTTATTTCAGGTTTAAATTTTCATCCAAAACACATCAGCTTTAAAATTTATTACACTGTTGCACTCTCTGAGTACTCAGAAATAGCTCATCCTTGACCAGCTGCAACATTAAAATGTGTGTTTATGTGTTAATGCATCAGTAATAATAATAAGCCAGTAATATATAATAATAAAATATAGGTGTTCTTTTGATGATGATGATGCACTTTTGGTGCTTACGTACTTTCTGCCTGAATAGCCCACCACTGTCCTTTTACTTAAGTAAAGGTTTGAATGCAGGACCTTTTACACGTATTACCTTCGCATAGGTAAGTAATGTAATCTAAATGATCTAAATACTTCCCCCATCACTGGTTTGGGTTACTTGGCTGTTTAATAGATATGTTTTAAATTTCTGTGGCAACCCCAATATGGTGAAAGTGAGTGGGGAGGTCTTTTCAGGTGCATACTTTCACATTCAAAAATTCTAACAGCAATATTGCTTTAAATGACAAAAGTAGCTGTCTCTGTTTTATTGTTGTCATTCAAGCAATGGCCACCACAAGTAACTACTGACACATTCAGACCACTGTCACAAAACGTATCAGTATGTAAATCTCTCAGTTTCATAATTGGGACAATGATGAGTCAGTGTCCTGTGACTCTTTTTAAAGGAAACACATGATATTGACACATTAGGCAAGGCAAGTCCATTTCCATAGCACATTCCAGCTACAAGGCAGCTCAAATTTGCTTTATAGAAAACCTCAAAAATATTGAGGCAAGAGAATAGAAAAAAGGAACAAGCTAAATACAAGAATAGAAGTTGCACAATTTAGGCAGTGGCAAATTTTATTTGAACTGAGAGTTGCAGCAGACAGAAGTTTTCTGGGAGTTTGTTCCTGATTTATGGTGCATAAAGACTGAATACTTCTGGACTGTTGATAGTGTAGAAATGTAATTTGTCCCTAAACCATGCAGTGCTTTAAAAACCAACTGCAATATTTTATAATCTATTCTTTGACAGACAGAAAGCCTAGTAAGACCTGGAAAGACACCATTACAGTAGTCGAGTTGACTGAAGACAAATACTTTTTTTCTAGATCCTGCTGTCCTCCTTTAATCCTTGACGTGTGACAGTAAAGTAGGCTGACTTTGTAATTGAAATTGTCTTGATGTGACTGTTGAAATTCAGGTCTGAGCCCTTGACTACACCAAGATTTGCAAACTGTGTAACAATTATCCAGTTTTTTGGAAAGGAGCCTTAGAAATTGAGATATTTCATTAATTGCAAATAAACAGAATGTGCAGTTAAATGAGTAAAAATTAAACTTTCCTCTTACTTTTAGTTTCAGATTTACTCTCCAAAGTAATCACCTCTATAATGTTTGATCTGTCTTAGCAGCGACCAGCTTACTGTATAACCATGGACGGGCACTATGATACATGTATTTAAAATACCTATTTCAAAAACAAAATAGGATTTTGTAATTTGTATTAGATAGGACTGATGAAAATATCCTCATATTTTGTAACAAAATACTTTAGTGTTTGGTATTTTGTAGTTTAAAGATACTGTAAAATACTTTGTGAGAAGTCTACTGCTGCCCCTGATTGACCTCAGTAATTTGAAATGAGAGTTGAGATCAGAACATGAAAATTTAATTGACTATGTGAATGATCATGAATGATCGTCATCACCTGTACACTATATACTACCATGAATAGCTTTGGGGCAGTCAAAAATGAAATTGCTGTATGACTGCCAGGCTGAGCGGTGTGAGTTTAGTCCTGAGGACCAGGTTTTAATGCAGACTCCTGTTGCTAGTTTACTGTTCCAGGCGAAATTTACAGGTCCATATACAGTAGAGCAAAGTCTCAGAGCAAAAATACTTAATTTTGTCCTGCCTCTGACTTGTTAATTTGTTAAAACTTTCTTAAAGTCAATGTGTAACTGCCAGTCCCATGCTCATTGTTGATTCGATGGGGGAGCAGATGTCAGAGAGTCTGATGATCTTGACTAGTGAAAAAACATAACTTTAAAAGCTTGTTTTCCCATTTGCCTAAGTCCCAAGGTACTGAACCCGATGTGTTAATTCAGTATCTAGCTCTGTTTGTTGATATACCACCTGTGAGAGAATGTGTATATGTAGGTGTGGCACAGACACGTGCAGAGGGGGGTGCAATGGGTGCTTGAGCACCTGCCCTTTTGCCCTTTGCTGCCCAAAGTGAACCTTTTTTCATACGCAAAATTTCCTTCATTTAATTTAATTTAAAAGTTGTAAAGGCCCTTTTGTGAAGGCCTGCCCGATCAAACTATCAGTAAAATGAAATGATAATAATTTCGGTAGTAAATAAAGTTACCCCATTGATGACCTTTCACCTGATGACCTCATCCGTGATGAGCCCTCTCGTTCAGACACCGTTAGTGATTCAGCAGCTCTGCCTACAGGACACCTTCGATTCCGCCAGTAAGAGGGGTTTGCCGCAATGTGCTTGTTGTGGATTGTTGCAAAGAGAGTATGTACAGTTGTTGTTTATATTGCTGTGTGTCGCCTGCCTGTAGAAGTAATATCAGCTGCCGGCTAACACGACCACACACCAACAGCTAACGATACTTCTACTCTATAAACAAAGGTGCTCTGTTCACTTCGTTCTGTTTGGGGGAGAAAAGTTTCACGGGCGTCGAGAGATCTGATCTTTTCTATGTAATTTGATTAAAATCTTTGCACTTGAACTAGTATTATTAAAGTAACTTAATAAAAGCCTTGTGCCTTAAAATAAGTATAACAACATTGGTAAAATTCTAAGCCTATTCCTCCGATTTATAGCCTCCTTCAGCCCTTTAAAGAAAAAAAAACAATCATTAAATTCAGAACAGTATTGAATATATTTACATTTGACAGCAACAGTAGTGTTTACAACAGCTCAACTACAATAAAAACTCAATAACTGGAAATACATATCAAAATGTCAGTGCCAATGTAAAATAAATAATATTCCAGACAGTGAAAAAGAATGTATGAATTGTTAAAACAAACATAGGATATATATTAGCTGATTTAACAATTCTGTGACCAGATTCAAAAACATTTCATACATTTTTCTGAAATCTAATAGGTCCGTTTCGTTTAGAATTTTACCAATGTTGTTATACTTATTTTAAGGCACAAGGCTTTTGTGGTTAGGAATATTATAAAAGATTAATGCTAGTTTATTTATTTAGATATATGATTAGACATATAGTCAATAAAAATCCAAATATATCTCAGATTCACAATAAAATATATAAAATCATCACAATTTTTCATAATGTAGACACACAAGCAAGCAACACAGACACACACCTCTGTCTATAGATTTGTTAGTCTCACTCTTATCCCTGCCATGGCCACCTTCATCCTTTCCTCATTAATGGTTCCATCCCAGATTATTTCCCACAATTTTTTTAAATCTTATTTCCTCTACCTGCAGCTCTTAGTGTGTAGCTCTGTGAGTATCCCCCTAGCAGTCAGCCTTGGTAGTGGCTGCAGTATTACAGCAGGTCAGTCACTGTGAGCTAGTCCCAAACACTCAACAATCTTTTTATGGTCACATAATTGTGTAATCAGCTAATATATATCCTCTAGTTGTTGTTATATCTGTAGTCACAGATCACCTCCAGTAGTATCAGCAACAACACAACAACAGCAAAGCTGCATCCGCATCCATAGCAACCCCTCAACAGCAACTGTTCCCTGTAAGTTATGTCAGCCCACAGTGTTTTAAAGCTAGAGTTGGGTATTCCCTGTTTCTTTTTGCGTCACAGCATTTGCATTTACATAACAACATATTTCTATGTCAATAGTATGAGAAGAGTCCTATTTAAATCCTTGTTCCTTGTGCCTTTTTTATACTTTGAGCACCTGCCCTTCCAAATGTCTCTGCACAGCCCTGGTGTGGCAGCAATCGCTTCAGGGTGTTGGATCACGGCTCACGAGATCACGAGTATATAAAGAAAGGATGCTGAAAGGAGTCTGAGTCTACAGTTTAGACTGTTTATCTATCTATCTAGATATTTTAGCTTCATTTCACAAGCTCCCAGTATGTTTTAGAATAGACTTTAAAATGTTATTGATTCATTTTAAAGCTCTTCATGGCCTCTCGCCCTGTTTTGTCTCTGACCCTTTAGTCAGTACTGGCTAGAATGTAATGAGTTATCAATTAACAAGTAGCAAACACAAATATAAGCATGCTGTGTAACATAAGCATGACACTTTCACTGTAACAATCACTATCAACAAGCATATGAGTATAAACAACAAAAATATGCAGAGCATAGAACAGTAATTCAGAAACATATTTTGGACAGATTCTTACATACTAGTGGCTAGCACTGAA